TTCTGCCGAGCAGGGACCCCAGTGTGGTGGGGCTTGATCCCAGGACGTTGGGATCATGACCTGAGTTGAAGGCAGATGCTTAACCGACTGAGCCGCCCAGGCGCCCCAAACTTTCATTGATTTTTATACCCCCAGGAGTCATAGGTTGAGTCTGTGCTCATGGTAGCTCCCTAGTAACATCTGCATGTATGATGGGCATATAACTGGGCCAGAATGAAGGTCTGGTTGATTGTTCCTTCTTTGTCAGGGATGAGAGTTCTTAGTGGTGAAAAGATTATGAACCCCATTATTAAATGGGCAGGGCAGTGCCCAGAATTGTCCAGAGCAAAGTTGGTCTAATGCCAATGAGAATAACAATTTACCTGATTTCTAGAATAAAAATAACATTGTCAAATTGAATTATAATTTGTAATTAAAAATGAGATCATAGTAGTTCTTCTGTTTTTTGATAGAATGTAATGTTGCTTTTGAGTTGAAGACAGTAGATGGCAGTGTCCCCTCATTTTAGAAAAACTTGGGAGGAGGAAGTTTTAGTGCATTTAGTGGCCCCAGACTTGAAGACGAACAGTGCCCTTTCGTGTGACTATTAATTGGGCCAGATGGCAGTTTTGTTAAGTTAGTCTTCAAAACAAGAGCATACGTACAGACTCCTTTGGTTTCCGAGGAGGAAAGCCTGTTGTCATTTTTAATACTTTATGTTACAAAGTGAAAATACCATTATGATTCATGAAATTTAAGTCAAATTCCCTAGAGACACTTGTAGTGCACTTTATTCTGCCTAAATATGTCCACTGGCTGCCAGCTTCCTTTCCTTTCTGTTTAAAAGGATTAATAAGACATGATAATAATAAATACATAGTGCTGAGTACAAAAGAATGCCTCCCCCCTTTTTAAAGATTTTATTTATTTGTCAGAGAGAGAGAGCACAGGTAGGGGGAGTGGCAGGCAGAGGGAGAAACAGGCTTCCTGCTGAGCAGGGAGGCCGATGCCGGGCTCGATCCCAGGACGCTGGGATCATGACCTGAGCTGAAGGCAGTTGCTTAACCAACTGAGCCACCCAGGCGCCCCAAGAAGAATGCCCTTTTAAGAGTAGTGATGATGTGGTCATGAATGTAGAGTTTGGGAAAGAGAAAAGAATAACAACCAAAGAAATGAATGAAGTCTGGGATTTTATGACCAGTCTAAGATGGCCAGGTGGCTTAAAATGTCACCTGAGAATCAAGACACACCAGATGTTAAAAGTGAGCAGTAGTAAGATTTGCTGTGATTTGTCTTATGTGAATTATCTAAAGATACGTAGATACGTCTTTTGTGACCAGAAAAAAAGGAAAACTGTTCTCAACCGAGGAGGAGAAATTCACTTTTTTTTTTTGCTTGCCTATTTTAATTATAAAAGTTTTTGCATTTGTGTATTTAGTTTTTAAAAGGTTTTATTTATTCATTTGAAGATTTATTTATTTATTTATTTATTTGAGAGACAGAGAGCATGAGAGGGAGGAGGGTCAGAGGGAGAAGCAGACTCCCCGCTGAGCAGGGAGCCCGATGCGGAACTCGATCCCGGGACTCCGGGATCATGACCTGAGCCGAAGGCAGTCACTTAACCAACTGAGCCACCCAGGCGCCCCTTAAAAGGTTTTATTTATTCATTTGATAGAGAGAGCACAGGCAGGGGGAGCAGCAGAGAGAGAGGGAGAAGCAGGCTCCCCACTAAGTAGGGAGCCCAGTGCGGGCTCCACCCCAGGACCCTAGGGTCAAGACCTGAGCTGAAGGCAGATGCTAAACCGACTGAGCCACCCAGGTGCCCCCAAATTTTTGCATTTAAATATAGTGTAAATGAAAGGTGTAACTCCTAGTGTTCCCAACACTAGAAATATTTCAGCTTCTGTCCTTCTTATCTGTGTCTGATAATATCACCAAGACCTTCAATTCGTCTGTATGTAGGTCATATGGGAGCCGATGATCCATGCTGGTTTGAGTCATCCTTGCCTCCAGAGATATGGATCAGGGTATTGGACTCACTCACCGATGTCCACTTTGCTCTTAACCAAATTGAATGGCCCTTTTGACCCTCAGTTTCCAGGTTAAATGAGGTCGGAAGCAGCTTATACAGAGACAGACTTTTAAAATCTAATCTTTTTTATGAAAACATCCTCTTTTCTGTCCCTAAGAGGGTACGGACTATATCTTTTTTCCCTTTCCCTTATATCTTAAGCATCTAGAAAAAAGCCTGGTACAAAGAGGTACTTATGAGGTATCTGTTGAGTTAATGTAAAGTTTGAACCCTTTTTATTTCAGAGGCCCCAACTTTGTTGAACAGTTTTGTGTTGATGAATGGGAGGGAGTTAACTACTGGCTACCAAAATTGGCCAGGTTTTCCTCCCATGTTTTATCTCATTTATTTTTTATTCAGGTTTAGAAAATCTATCATCATTATATATTTATAATAATTATTACATATATATAATATCTGGGGGCACCTTCGTGGCTCATTTGGTTAAGCATCCGACTCTTGGTTTCAGCTCAAGTCATGATCTCAGGGCCATGAGACTGAGCCCTGCATTGGGCTCTGTGCTGAGCGTGGAGCCTGCTTAAGATTCACTCTCTCCCTCTCCCTCTGCCCCTCCCCGCCTTGCTCATGTGCTCTCTCTCTCTCAAAAAAGAAAGAAAGACTTAAAAATTAAAAAAAAAAAATGTCTAAACACAAATGTATCAATGTTGAATTAAAGGTATTATGTCACAGGTTTACAGCAGAGCAGGTTCCTGATGGAATTGGGAGGGGGAGGATGAACAGTTTAAGAAAAGACAACAGCACACTCCTACTTTAGGGTATTGATTAAAAGCTAATAATTTGTTAACTTAAGGAAGATTTTTTTTTATGCTTTATTTTTTTGAGAGGGTGAGAGAGGGCGTGAGTTGGGGGAGGGGCAAAGGGAGAGGGAGAAAAGCAGACTCCCTGCTGGGGAGCGACTAGGGCTCCATCCCATGACCCTGAGACCATGACCTGAGCCGAAATCGTGAAACCAATTGAGGCACCTAGGTACCCCAAGAAGATTTTTTTTGGAAAAGATTTTATTTTTAAGTAATCTTAAACCCTACATGGGGCTCGAACTCACAATCCCGAGATCAAGAGTTGGATGCTCTACCGACTGAGCCAGCCAAGCGCCCCCAAGATTTTTTTTTGAAAATTTTGTTTTTGAGTGATCTTTATACCCAATGTAGGGCTTGAATCCTCAACCCCAGGATCAAGAGTTGCATGCTCCACCGACAGCCAGCCAGGACAATTTTTTGATGACATGTGACACCTCACGCAAGTGTTCACTATGCCTAGGTTCCTGCTACTAAGTAAGTGGAAGGAATAGGAGGGAATGTTTACTCAGAAACACCAGTGTCTATAGCGATGATGTCCCTGATAATAAAGAGTTCAGTTCTGTCAGTGGAATATTTTTTAAAAATCCTAGGTTCTGATTTTAGTATCGCTTTCTCTTGCTCCCTCCATTAGCCTGCATATTTATACATTTATCCCATTTTACTGCCCTACCATGTGCCAGGTGTTGGAGCTGTGAAATCACCACATAGCTCCTGACTTTGAAGTGTTTTCAGTCTAGTGGTAGAGACAGATGTGTAAAGAAATGTAACAGTGTTGGCTGGAACACAGAAAGGATAGGGCTCTCCTGGAGGGGCGGGGGGGGGCAGGCAAAGTCAGAGAATTTGTCACCAGATGTCAGTGCCTTTTCTGGTGCTTAAGCCATGAGAAAGTGCTCAGTCCCTGAGCTGTCAAAGTAACCAACTGTGATAGATTTACTGGGTAGCAGTTACCGGTGGGCACCTCCTAAGGCATTTCCTCTTAAACATGTACTTTTGAGCAGAACCTCCAAATAGAATGTGACTTCCTGTACATTTCTGGTTCCAGGGGCACTGGACTTGACTGGGCCTTCATGTTTGCATTCCCACTCTATCTAGAATGGTACTTTGCATATTAGTGGTACTCATTAAATGTTTACAGTGAAAGCGGAATTGTTTAAGGAAAATTCATATTATGTAAGAAATAATTTGAGGAGTATTGATTTATTTTATGAATATATCACTTATTTTATAAAAAGACTTTCCATAGAATTAATGTAAATAGCAGCTCCCCAGAGAATTAAGTTTGTAAAAATTTTCTGATTCACCACTTTTCTGGAATTTATTCCAGTGTGTAAAGTAAGTTATACTTTCATAAAGAGTTTAGTTTAATAACCTTTTGATTAAAAGTTCACACTTTATTTTTTATTTTTTTTATAAAGATTTTATTTATTTGATAGAGAGAGACACAGGGAGAGAGGGAACACAAGCAGGGGGAGTGGAAGAGGGAGAAGCAGGCCTCCTGCAGAGCAGAGAGCCTGATGCGGGGCTCAATCCCAGGACCCTGAGATCATGACCTGAGCCAAAGGCAGATGCTTAAGACTGAGCCACCCAGGAGCCCCAAAAGTTCACACTTTAATAATAGTCAGTGTTATTTTGATTGGTTATGAGCCAACAATGTGTGTGTTTCTAACAATTGATTTTTTTTTTCAAAGATTTTATTTATTTATTCATGAGAGAGAGAGAGAGAGGCAGAGGGAGAAGCAGACTTCCCGCAGAGCGGGGAGCCCGATGCGGGACTCGATCCCAGGACTCCGGGATCATGACCTGAGCTGAAGGCAAACGCTTAACCATCTGAGCCACCCAGGCGCCCCTCTAACAATTGATTTTACTTAACTTTTTGTTTCAGAATTAAGACAGTGAGGAAGGAAGCAATCCAGAAATTGTGATTTAAACTTGATACTTTCCTTAGAAAGTAATACTGGTTAATACTTGGATTGAACATTCTTTTTTTCTTTTAGAGTTTTGTATTAAAAATAGAAAGTCTTTGGACAGGATGACCTTTTTTTTTTGAATGCCATATTTAAATACTTCTCTTTATATTATTCCTGGGAACACAGCTTTAGGAATAAATATTTAAACTTCTGTGCTCTTTTCAGATACGGTTAAAAAACTCCAGGATCAAAAACATGACATGGAAAGAGAAATCAAGACACTCCACAGGAGACTTCGGGTAGGCTAAATCTTCATGTATTATCTCATTAGAATACCTAGGTTTCTGAAAGTTGAGTACAGTGTAGTCCTTGATCGTGTTAGCATTCATCTTAAGCTTCAGATACAGTTAAAATACTGATCCTACTGGGCTTTGGGCAGAAAGCAAATGCCATCATTTCAAGTTGGGATTAGTGCTAGATTCTGGATAGAAGAATCTACTAGTAATTTTAAAAAGATGGATTTAGGAAGCAAGTGTTATATTTTGGAAAGAAAAATTATTCACTCTTGATTAGAAAGTGTCCCAAACCAAGCTGTTTTCATCTGGGTTTTCTGTCTACTGTGAATTTGATCAGCTTGCCGACAGCGGTGCCACTCTGCTGCAGAGGTGGGGGAAGCTCATCTCAGAGTTTGGGTCATGCCTCAGTTACCAGGCTGTATTCATGGTGTCAGAAAATCGCTTTGGGGTGATGGATGCTGGGCCCGGGACTGGACAGCTGTGGCTCTGGTGGAAGCGACACCCTGGGGAGGCTTGTCCACCCGGTCACACCCGCATCCTCCATGGCTGTGGGAAGCCACAGACTGTACAGTTCCTTAGCTCCTCTCTTTGTATGGTTTTGTCTGCCTAGTTTGAGTTTAGTGTTTTTCTTCGGCCTTCCTCTTCCTTTTCCTTGACTTTTGATTTTTTTTTCCTGTTAGTTTTTGATGTCAAGATATTTATAGTTTTTCACTGTAAGATCTTTCAGTATGGTTCACACACCATTATCTACTTTTCAGAGGTAAAGTGCTGTGAATTTTGAACTATGTGTTTATTTTCATAAGACTTATAAACTTGCATAAGGAAGGGAGACTTGACATTTTTGTCATTAATATTGAGTACTCTCGTGAGGCAGAGCAGCTAGAAGGTCTTTTCTTCATTAAGAACAAGTTCACTACTAATGATTGTATTACCTGTTACCTGTTAGAAATGATAATAGCAGTTCTCTGAGCTTTAAAATAAATTAATCATCATTTGGGATCGTGCATTACAGTGCAGTCATAAACACATCTTATTATTTTTAAGTAAGTCTTCATTGCTCTCTTTTGGAAATAAAAATTTAGTTTTTTAACGTAGGAAGAATCTGCGGAGTGGCGGCAGTTTCAGGCTGATCTCCAGACTGCTGTGGTCATTGCCAATGATATTAAATCTGAAGCCCAAGAGGAGATTGGCGATCTGAAGCGTCGGTTACATGAGGCTCAAGAAAAAAATGAGAAACTCACCAAAGAATTGGAGGAAATAAAGTCACGCAAGTACGTTTTGAGAAACCAGTTGTGCACTTATGTTTTAATAGAGAACACTTAAATCCCAATTTTGTGATGTGGTATTATGGAAAGAATGAGTGTGGATCCTAGTGGAAGTTACTCAATTTTTCTGGCCTCACTTTATGACACCTGTAAAATAGCACAGTCTATATGATCTGTCAGAGTTGTTGTCAGTGTCTTAATTAACAGCTCTGGAGGGGCCAGACTGGTCCCTGGCACAAGGTACCTTCTAGTTCTCTCCTTTCCTGTATCTGCACACTCCAGCCCTGTTACTTTGCTTTAGGGTAATAGCCTCTGATTAAGGATGTGTACTGTGGAGGCAGATGGGCGTGACTCCTGTCCAGTTCTGCTCCTTACTAGCTATGTGATCTTGGTCAGGGCCCTTAACTTCCCCAAGCCTCAGTTTGCTCATCTTTAAGATGGAGACACTACTACCTGCTCTACAGTGTTGCTGCAAGGCTTAGAGGAGACCTGCCTGCAGAGTGGCCAGGGCAGTGATGAGTATACTGTATTTTATTTTAAGATTTTATATATTTGTTTGAGAGAAAGAGAGAGGGAAAGCACAGAGGGAGAGTGAGAGGGAGAAGCAGACTCCCCGCTGAGCAGTAAGCCCGACATGAGGCTTGATCCAAGGACCCGGGATCAGACACTTAACCAACTGAGCCACCCAGGCGCCCCTGCTTTAATAACTAATATTATTAGAGACCCAAGTAAAGAATGCGAAGTGAGTTTTTTTCCATCACTCACTTGAGTTTTCACTTACAACCACCTGAATCTCCATAGTAGTATTTTTTCCCATTAACATAGAGATCATTGGGGGGTGCCTGGGTGGCTCAGTCGTTAAGCATCTGCCTTCGGCTCAGGTCATGATCCCGGGGTCCTGGGATCGAGCCCCGCATCGGGCTTCCTGCTCAGCGGGAGGCCTGCTTCTCCCTCTCCCACTCTCCCTGCATGTGTTCCTTCTCTCGCTGTGTCTCTCTCTGTCAAATAAATAAATTGGGCTCCCTGCTCTGCGGGAAGCCTGCTTCTCCCTCTCCCCCTGCTTGTGTTCCCTCTCTCGCTGTGTCTCTCTCTGTCAAATGAATAAATAAAATCTTTAAAAAAAAAAAAGAATCTGATTATCTAGGGGCGCCTGGCTGGCTCAGTCAGTAGAGCATATGACTTGATCTTGGGGTCATGAGTTTGAGCCCCAAGTTGGGCATAGAATTTACTTTATAAAAAAAATATTTGATTATTCATTAGTTTAACTAAATCTTAGGTAGACATAGGAAAAAATTTAGAAAAATATTTATGGGGCCCCTGGGTGACTCAGTTGGTTAGGTATCCGACTCTTGATCTCAGCTCAGGTCTTGATCTCAGGGTTGTGAGTTCAAGCCCCTTTTTGGGCTCCATGTTGGGCGTGGAGCCTACTTAAAATAAAACAGGATATCCTTGAAAAGCTATCTTGTTTTATTGTTGCCTAGCTCTAGTGTATGGCCCAGCGAAAAGTATCACTAAACCCTTTTTGTTTGGCTTCCTTAAGCAGAACATGGATTGAAGTGGAAGATTATTGTTTCTCCACTTGGTGTAAGCTCATATTATATTACCTTTTTTCTGTACACTGTTAAAGAAATGGTGTATCAAAAATGTTTCATTCTTTTTTTTTTTTTTTTTTAAGATTTATTTATTTATTTGGGAGAAAGAGAGTGTGCGGCAGGGAGGGGCAGAGGGAGAGGGAGAAAGAATCTCAAGTGGACTCTGTGCTGAGCGTGGGAGCCCAACAGGGAGCTAGATCTCAGGACCCTGAGATCACAACCTGATTTGAAACCAAGAGTTGGATGCTTAACTGACTGCACCACCCCCTGGAAATGTTTCATTCTGATGTTAACCTGAGTAATTGAAATTTCTGCTCTCGAAGAATCATTCCATCAGGTCCTAAAGATGTCCTCGATGAAGCAGTAAATTAATTTTACTAAATCTCAGTCCTTGAGTATATACTCTGTTTAACATTCCATGTGATGAATGGGAAGTATACATAAAGCACTTCCGCTGTATCTGCTGTATACCCAAGTATGAGGTTGTCTCAAGGAAAGTGCTCTGTGATTGTTGGTCAGAAAACAACTCAACCTAAAACAAACTACAGATATTCAGACTTCGGTATTTGGTAGATATTCCTTGAAAATGAATGAAGAGAGACTGTCACTGTCACTTCAAGGAAAACAACTGACTGTTGCCAGTGCTAAAATGTGGAAATTCGAGTCAATGTTAGGATTTTAGAAAACTTGTATCTGCCATCACAAGCTTGGCAGCTTCCATATTTAGAGAGTTTCCTGATGAGATCCTTGGTGATATTAACAAATGTGACTTTTAAATAATAAATCCTATAATGACAGATGTCAACATTTGGAAAATCTGTGTAATTCAGTGAACCAATATTTTCTGTATGACCAATGCAGTCACATATGGGTAGAAGATAGACTAGAGGAATTTTAACAGGCAGAGTAGGAAAAGTTTATTCACATGGTTTCAAATTCCACATTGCAACAAACTTTTAAGTAACTACCACTTACTACATTTTGGTATAGTATCAAGGAAAAACAGCCTCGGTTGTCTAAAAGCCACAATTATCTATTTTAATATCATTAAAAGAATCTTTTCTTTTTCAACTGCTACATATCGGTGAGCCCTGTTCTTTTTTTATCTCACAGTATATTGAATAGAGATGAGAATCTAACAGTATTCTGTTAAGCCAGACATTAAAGAGATAATTAAAAATGTAAAAACGCTGCTATTCTTCTTCCTCTTCTTCCTCCTCCCCTCCTTCTCCTACTTCTTCTTCTTCCTTTTTTTGGTTTTGGAAAATAGTTGTTTTTCATGAAAATATGTTGTATTGATAAGCCCTGGGTTTATTTTTATTTTTAGATGAATTAAGTATTTTAAATATGTCTTAGTTTAAATTTCCATTATGATGTCAATAGATATAAGCCACATAAAGAAAAGCTCTTTGGGACTTCAGTAATTTTTAAGAGTGGAAAGGGGAGGGTCTAGTCGGTTAAGTGTCTGCCTTCAGCTCTGGTCATGTCCCAGGGTCCTGAGATCAAGCCCCGCTTTGGGCTCCCTGCTCAGTGGGGAGTCTCCTTCTCCCTCTCCCTCTGCCCCTGCTCATGCTCTATCTCTTGCTCACTCTCAAATAAATAAATGAATCTTAAAAAAAAAAAAAAGTGGAAAGGGGCTCCAAGACCAAAAGGTTTGATAATCAATGTTACAGATTCTTTGTTAAAACTTCTGAGCATGACGGGACACCTGGGTGGCTCAATTGGTTAAGCATCTGCCTTCTGCTCAGATCATGATTGAGCCCCACATCGGGCTCCCTGCTCAGCGGGGAGTCTCCTTCTCCCTCTCCCTCTTCCTCTCTCCCCGGCTTGTACACACACACATTCTCTCTCTCTCAGATAAATAAGTAAAATCTTAAAAAAAAAAAAAACAATTTCTGAGCATGAGACCCTGTGGTACATCTATCAGAAGAGCCAAATAGCTACCAAATTTTCCCAAGGACTGGCTTAGTTTTTGTCTACCTATAAACTTATTTCATGGTTATATGGCATGTACAAGCTCTGCAACTGAAATCTCGTTCCAGATGAAAACTTCTGTGTTAGTCAGCTCAGCGAATTAGAGCTAGCCAGAAATAAAATGTAATTGATTTTTTTAGATGACTCATGATCCATCCACTGAGCATCTCAGAGACTCATGTTACTAATAGAGCCTAGGTTTTGTTTTGTTTTTTTGTTTCCTGTGTAGAAATTCTGTTTGGAGATTACAGAGGGTTTGTTTTAAAGAATATGATCTTTGATTTCATTTCTTTTGTATTTTCATGTCTGTGCATGGCGTATTAGATAGGGCCAGTATAGATAACCCATATGTACTGGTGAATTCCCAGACTCCTCAAAACAGGACAGAACCTCAAGATCCCAGTTCTGAGTCAGGTTCTTTTTGGCCAGTCCACTTCCATTTTACTGCTAATTTATTACTGATGTCCTCACCTTACACTTACTCAGATGAAAATGGATTCTGATGGTTACTTTTAAACCTATTTAGTACAACCTGATATAAAAATTTTAATATCATTTCCTGGAATTTATCAAACAAATGAGAATATTAGACTAGGTAATTTACTCAGCTCTACCGATACTGTCTTTTTTAAAAGTGATACTTTTTAATGCTTTTCAGTAGGGAGGTGAAAATGTGTATTTGCTAGTATGTGTGTAAAAATGCCTGATTTCACTATTGTTTTCAGGCAAGAGGAGGAGCGAGGCCGGGTGTACAACTACATGAATGCTGTGGAGAGAGACTTGGCAGCCTTAAGGCAAGGGATGGGACTGAGTAGAAGGTCCTCAACTTCCTCCGAGCCAACCCCTACGGTGAAAACCCTCATCAAGTCCTTTGACAGTGCATCGCAAGGTAATTTCTTATATCCTATGCCAAGGGCAGGCAGGCAGTCATTCACTTACCATCTGTTCTCTGGTCTGGTTTGATATTCTTTACCATCTTAACTCTCTGAGCCTCATCAAATTTCATGTAGTATTAATGAGTTAGTCTTACTATCAGGTGAATTTTAGCAGGAGACTTGGGATCTATTCAGCTTCAGAGATCTTGGTCTCAGACTTGGTGGCTTTCCCCTTGCAGAAATGTGTCTTCACATAGTCCTGGGGCTCTGAGTGTCTTCTGTATGCCTAAAACCTCCAGATGTATAAATTCAGCCCTTTCCCTTCCTCTGAACTCTGTAGGTCTGTAAATCCAAAGGCCTCCTTGACATTGACACTCAGATATCTCCTAGACATTTTATGTCCAAAACTGCACTCTTGCCCCTGAGCTTCAGACTTTCCCCTGTGTAAGTGGCAGCACCATTCTACCCAGTTACTCAAGCCAGAAATCCAGGAATCCTCCTTCTTCCTTAAATCCTTCTTTCTCACTTTCCTCCTTCTTCCTTAAATCCTTCTTCTTTCTCACTTCCACATGTAATCCATTAGCAGGCCATGTGGATCTAGCCTCCAGCATGCACATCTTTGCTCTGTCTACTTCTCTCCATCTCTCTCTCTCTCTTTTTTCTAAGATTTTACTTATTTATTTGAGAGAAAGAGAGAGAGAACATGAGTGGGGTGAGGCGCAGAGGGAGAAGCAGACTCCCCGCCAAGCAGGGAGCCAATGCAGGGCTCGATCCTGGGACTCTGGGATCATGACCTGAGCCGAAGGCAGACGCTTAACCCACTAAGCGACCCAGGTGCCCCATACTCCTCTCCATCTCTAGTGCACAATCAACTGCTAGTATAAACCACCATCAGCTTCTAATTTCAGTGACCAGGATCCTAATCAGTCTCTCCATTTCATTTTATGACAGATCTTTTCTTGCTTAAACTCCTTTAATTTCTTTATCATAGTTAGTGAAGTTCAGATCCCCAGATGCGTGCATGGTCTGACCCTACCTTCCTCTTACCTCAGTTGAACCACTCTTCCTCTGCCCTCTATATTCCTGCCACAATGGACTGCAGGTCCCAAAGCAGGCCAGGCTCCATACCACACAGGCTCTTCTGTACCTGGAAGCTCACTTCCCACCTTCAAATGACTGGCTCCTTTTCATCTCTCTTACCCCCTTAGCTCTGGGATAGGGAAAGGGATGTAGTTTTTTTAAAAAATTAAATGGAGGCACCCATCTGGCTCAGTTGGTAGAGCATGTGACTCTTGATTCTGGGGTTGTGAGTCTGAGCCCCATGTTGGGGCTTAAAAAATAAAATCTTGGAGAGCCTGGGTGGCTCAGTCGGTTAAGCATCTGCCTTTGGCTCAGGTCATGATCCCAAGGACCTGGGATTGAGCCCCGCATCGAGCTCTCCACTCAGCGGCAAGTATGCTTCTCCCTCTCCCTCTGTGATCTCTCTCACTCGTTCTCTCAAATAAAATCTTTAAAAAAAAATTTAAAAAATTAAATCTTAAAAACACAAAATAGAGGGACACGTAGTCAATTAAGCATCCAACTCTTGGTTTTGGCTCAGGTCATGATCTCAGGGTTGTGAGATCAAGGCCCGGGTTGGGCTCCGCCCTCAGTGCAGAGTCGGCTTAAGACTCTCTCCCTCTGCCCCACCCCCCCACATGCACCCTCACTCTCTCTCAATTAAAATCTTAAAAAGAAAAAAAAAACAAAAAAACAACTGAATGTAATGTGTCCTGAAACTTACATTTTCTTCTAAAAATTCTTTAAACTTCATGATAGGCTTTATTCTAATTCACCCTAATAATAGTAGAGTTTCCATAATCTATATTCCGTGACTATACACAAATTAGTTTTCTTGACTTAAAATCAGAGCAAAAGTCACTTATATACTCACAGTGTTGGTACAGATATTTTGGAAGACAATATTTTCCAATTTAAAATGCCATATTCATAGACCCTGAAGTTCTTATACATGACACTGGCACAAGTTTTTAAAGATACAGATATAGATACAGATGTACACATAAAGTTTTCAGTGTGGGATTGTTTGAAAAAAAGGGAAAACCTGGAAATTGCTTACGTACCCATTAAAAGGATTAAGTCAGTTATGACCCATTAATACAGTAGAATACTATGCACTCTTTTATAAGGATGGGGTAAATCTCGAAGTACTGGTGTTAAAATATACCTGCAATCCTTTATAGTAAGTTGCAGACCAGTATTATATAATGTGATCTCATTTTGTTTTTTTAAGTACATAGATTTTTGCCTTAAAAATACAAGAAAGATGCACTTGAAACTATTGTTACTGGCTACCTCTGGGTAAATATGACAGGCTGAGATGAAAGAAAGACAAAAATCTGTACTTCTAAAATGAAATGATAATGGAATGTCTGTACTAAAGTCATGCAGTTATTCAAAATATTGATGAAATGGGCTCTAATGCAAAAAGATAAATCTGCTTCTATACTGGTCTTTTAAAAAAAACAATATTTTACAATAAGATAGATCTAAATGACTCCGTAGTTCCACTGCTTAATTATATATGCAAAAGAAGTTAACACAAGTATTCAAATAACTTGTACATGAGTGTTCATGGTAGCACTATTCACAATAGCCAAAACATGGAAACAGCCCAGCTGTCCATCAGTTGATGAATGGATAAACAGAATGTGGTTTGTCCATCTGATGGAATTTTATTCAGCCATAGAAGGAATGAAGTACTAATATATATTACCATGTAGAAAACATGCTAAGTGAAAGCAGCCAGACACAAAAGGCCGAGGATTGTAAGACTCCGTTTATATGAAATATGGAGAATAGTAAGTCTATAGAGACAGAAAGCAGTTTGGCAGTTGCCAAAGACTGGGGAAGAGATAGATGGGGAGTGATTGCTTAAGAGATACTGGGATATTTTGGAACTAGGTAGAAGTGATGATGACTGCACAATATTGTGAATGTACTAAATACCGTTGAACTCTACATTTTGAAATTATTTACTTTCTATTATGTGATTTTATTTATTTGAGAGAGAGTGTGTGCAAGAGAGCACAAGTGGTGGAGAGGGAGAAACAGGCTGCCTATCAAGCAGGGAGCCCAGTGTGGGCTCGAACCCAGGACCCTGGGATCATGACCTGAGCCAAAGGCAGCTGTTTAACCACTGAGCTGCCCAGGTGCCCCTATTATGTGAATTTAAAAAAAATTTTTTTTATTTTAAGTAGGCTCCATACCTAACATGGGGCTCGAACTCACAACCCTGAGATTAAGAGTAGCATGCTGTATTGACTGAGCCAGCCAGGTACCCCTATTATGTGAATTTTATTTCAGTAAAAGAATGCATCTAAAAATAGCAATTTAAATATGTGTACTTGGTTGCATAAAAAGGTCCACAGTGATCTGCTTCTTCATCTTTTCTCACTGTGTGATGTGCCTGATTTTATCTTTGTGTCCCATTTTGATTTTAATTTAGCTTCAAACAAATAACCATTTTCAAACCTCTACCAAAATCTGTGTCAAGCCCGAGTATCTGGATGTGAGTATAAAAATTATGGGTCCGACTTTTGAATAGTTCAGTCAAGAGAAGGAGACTGACATGTGAGCAAATAATTACACATCCACGCATTAAATGCAAACCAGAAAGTACTTGCTAAGTGAAGTGATGAACTCCACAGGAGGAGATGAGAAAAGATGAATGGGAGCCCAGTGTTCCTTTGTTTTTGTTTGTTTTTGTTTTCCAGTGTTCCTTCATTGAATGCACATCCACTGTGGGCCAGGCTTCTCACCTGATGCAGTTTCAGAAATACTCCTCTTGGGTTTTTTGAACTTGAATTTCATTGGCTCATGGAGCTCTTTAACTACCTATGTTAATGAAATGGCAAAAATGAAATGACTGGCATAACCAGGTTGGGAATCAACACAACTACTCTAGGGAACAGACAATCCGCCTCGTGGCAGGAGAAGCACCACCTGCTAGGCACGACTGTGAGCGCCCCATGGAGGTTAGGCCTCAGGACAGCTTCCAAGGGAGCCAGAGCACTGGGTATAGTCTGGGGGATCTTTCAGGGGACACCAGCTATGAAAGCTTCCACTCTACCGTGATGCATTCAGTATTTGTTTGTTTGTTTCTGTAGTACCAAACCCCACTGCAGCCGCGATTCCTCGCACACCTTTGAGTCCAAGTCCTATGAAAACTCCTCCTGCCGCAGCTGTCTCGCCTATGCAGGTAAGTGTCCGTGACCCTAGAGGCTGTGGGGGCCTCAGCCTCTGAAAGTGCGTCCTCCTAATAGTCATTTACACTTATGTTAGGGTGGCAAATGACTATCTCGTGAGGAATGTAGTTAGGGTTGTAAAATAATGTAAATATCCTTCACTGAGATAAATTATGAAAATGTCCATTGTGTTACTCTTCTGAAAGTAATAGTGATAGCTAACAAATATTGAGCACTTGCTATGTGTTCTACCCTATTCCATGTACTTTATAATGTGAACTCATTTAATCGTCACAACAGCCCTGTTGGGTATCAGGTATTATTCTTACCTCTAGTTTTCACATGTGGAAACTGAGGCCCAGAAAGGTTAAGCAACTTGCTGAGGGTCATCTAATGAAGACGTGGTAGAGCTGGGATTTGAACCAGGGCAGTGTGGCTTCAGGGACCATCTCTCTAAGTGGAATATGTAGTTGTTGTGTGTCAGCCTCCGCTACCTAACAAATCACTTCAAAGCTTGGTTGTTTAAAAGAGCAGTTGTATGATTTTTCACATTTATGTGTTGCCTAGGCTGACTTCGTGTGGGCTCATTCCTGCAGCTGCACTTAGCCACAGGGAGGGGTGGGGCCTGGGCTCAGCAAGGATGGCCAGGCCACTCTCTCCATGTGGTCTTTCCTCTCAGATTCCTTCATGGTGCAGTGTCTCAAGCTCCAACCAAGTCATAAGGCTAGCCCAGAGTCAGAGTTGGGGGTTTCTGCAGAAGGTTCATTATGGGCCATTTTTTAGCAGTCTAGCACAAAGGGCATTGCTGATCCATTATAAACAAGTTTCTGAAGTTGCTCTTCCTGGCCACTGTGGAAATGTAGACCAGAAGCAAGGGAGATGGTTGTTGCTCTGTAGTGCTCATGAGGCCTCTCGCTGTGCCCTTGTTGGTCAGCCACTTTTGGAAAGAGGGGCTGTGGTGGAGTTTTTCCATGTAAGTGAGAGTAGCCAAAGGAAAAATGGCCATAAACCTAGTACCTAGTACCCTTTGATACAGGGTAGCCTTAGCCATACCTCTTCCCTAAAACTAGAATAGGATTTGGGAGCGTTTTATTTTTGAATGGAGACTTTTGTGCTTTGTTAACTATTGGCCATGTATTTTACAAGTGAATCTGTTGGTGTTTTGTTTTGTTTTACTTTTTAACCTTTTCCTGTGTGAAATTTAGGGTAAAAAGTGCACTCCTGCATTTGTCATGTTGCAAATTAGTGGCTCTGCATTTGCATGTGTACAGAAGATGTTAATGCTCTTAATTTACAAGGAAGGCAAGGGAATTCCAATCCTACTATAGATTTAATGCTTTTTATATGCATTGAAGTTTAATATACAGAGCATGACTTTGTAAATCTTTATAAAGATAAGAGGTGAAAAATCTCATCTCTGTAACTTGATAAAAGTTAATAATTACAAGTCACATTCAGTAGCTTTTTAGTACTTGGTTAGCACAATGCTTCTGAGATCTAATTGTGCATAAAAACTGTGTGAAGAGGTTTTAAACACATAGATTCCCAGGCCTCATCCTAGTGAACGAGAATCTCTAGGGAATATGGCCTAAGATTGGGATTGTTAGTTTTTCAAAACTCCCTGAGTGGGAATTCTACTTCTGGCTACAAGGGAGTGACAGGCTGGATTACTCTGCCACCCCAAGCAACTCGAAAGCTGGACAAATTATAGGAAGAAATTACATTCAGAAATGTACAGCAGGCAGTATGAGACGGTGGTACTTAAATTAAAGTCCTTCTGGGCCCACACTTTTCCTGTTGGGAGGTTCCAGATGGTGGTGCAGGGGGGATGAAGCCAGATGGAGCCAGGAAGGGGGAACTAGCTGGGTCTGAGGAGACACAGATCGGTGTCCAGGGAGAATGAGAGTGCTGGAATTTGCAGGGCAGAGGACCTGGGAGGAGGGAGCTACACAGAGGGAGGACCTCTGCAAAGGCATCCCTGTAAGTCTTTGCCTGAATGCCAGTCTGCACAGGCACAGGGTGAACCCCCACAAGGCTGAGTAAGAACAGTTTCCCAGGAAAGAACGTTACCAGGGAGCTGTCAGGTAAACACTTCCCATAGTTCACACAGGGCAGGGAATCATGAGTTCCCACTGGTCACTGGAGAAATCCTGGAATACTTGGAGCATTCCTTAGAGACCCCTGAGGGCCACACCCTAAAGTAGAACTGCATTGCAGCTCTCTAGTACGTACTATGCTAGACCTGCCCTGAAAGACCTTAAAAGTAAACCTCAAAAAAGCCAAGGAGATCCATAAGTAACTGGGGTACTCAGCCTCTGAAATACTTCTTAGTGACTCTCACCTCCCAGAAGTCACGCTCTTGTGAAATCTTGCTCCTCTTGAGTGTTGGCTGGACTTCACGACTCATTTCTGATGAATAGAGTATAGCAAAAGGGGTGGGACATCACAAGGTAAGATTATAAAAAAGATTAGCTTCTGTCTTGAGGATTCCTCTTGCTCTCTCTTAGATCCAGTCACTCCAGTGAACCACTGAAAATTGAAATACTTAGGGGCGCCTGGGTGGCTCAGTCGTTAAGCGTCTGCCTTCGGCTCAGGTCATGATCCCAGGGTCCTGGGATTGAGCCCCGTGTCGGGCTCCTTGCTGGGCGGGAAGCCTGCTTTTCCCTCTCCCACTTCCCCTGCTTGTGTTCCCTCTCTTGCTGTGTCTCTCTCTGTCAAATAAATAAATAAAATCTTAAAAAAAAAAAAAGAAAAAGAAAATTGAAATACTTAGCAATACATTTAATGAAATGCTGTTGTAAGATCTGTAGAGCAGAAAGTATAAAATATTGCTGAGAGAAATTGAAGAAGTAATAAGTGGAGAGATATATTCATGAACTGGAAGACTCAGTAGTGTTATTATCTTACAGCTCTCCCTCACATCGATCTGTAGATTCAACACAATCCCAGTGATAATCCTGCATGCTATTTTGTAGAAATTGATAATACAATTTTAAATTTATATGGAAATTCAAAGGACCCTGAATATCCATCCAAAGCATCTGGGAGATTAAAAAAAAAAAAGGAAACAAATTTGGAGGACTTATCCTACCTGATTTCAGCACTTAGAGTAATCAAGACATTGTGGTACTGACAGTTTGTTTGTTTATTTGAAATCTTCATTAAGCTGATAAACTCCCCATCCCACAGATAGCCAGAGTACCAGCAGCTGCACTTACTGACATAAGTTTAAATGTAGACATTACGTCAGTAGATTAGATAATCCAGAAATAGGTCAGCTGATTTTCAGCAGAGCTGCCAAGATAATTAAATGGGAGAGGGGTAGCCTTTCCAACACAGGATTCCGGAACAGCTAGGATCTATGTGGAAAAAAAAATAACCACAACTGTTACCTCATGGCATTTATAAAAATTAAAATTGATTGTAGACCTACATGTGAAAGCTAAAACTACAAAACTTCTAGATGAAAACATTAGAGAAAATCATCCTGACCTTTGAGAAGGCCAAGATTTCTTATTTAGGACATAAAAAGAAGGAGCCATGAAAGAAAACTGATAAATTGGACATCAAAATTTGAAACTTCTGAGAGACATTAAGAAAATGAAAGATAAGTTATAGACTCAGGAGAATATAATCACAATACATTTATCTGTCAAAACACTCATATTCCAAGAAGACATTTTCGTCTTCTTGATTGAAGACAAACCAGTAAATAGTAGACAAAAGATTTTAAAAGTCCCTTCCTTAGAGAAGATACACAAATGGCCAGTAAACACATGAAAAGATGTTCAACATCATTAGTCAACTGGGGAAGTAAAAATTAAATTCACAGTAAGCTTCCACTATGTACCCTTTAGGATGGCTAAAACTGAAAGACAGTCTCAAGTGTTGGTAAGAATGTGAAGAGACTGAACCTCACACACGTTTCTGCTTGGAAATACAAAATGAGTAGTTAAAGGTTCGCTAGATAAAAAAGGGCTGGGGGAAAAGCTGGGAAAATAAGCACGACAGAAAGGACGGTGACGGTAAACACCATGGTCTGTGTGGAAATGAATAGTTTGGTGGTATTTGAGCATTACACAGAGGTGGCAGGAGATGAAGCTGAGGAACTGAGAGGAGGTATTTGTGGGGGGTACTTGTGGCTGCACGCAGAGGGATGCATGTATCCATCCGGAGATGAGGAAGCCAGGGGCAGAGCCATTGTGGTGGTGCTGAATTAAGATGACAGGTTGTACTGGGGCTCTTGTAGTAGGAGCACGTCCGTATTTCGCCAATTGGTGTGTAATAGTTAAGAATTCTCTTTAAACAAAACAATGTCAGTATACTGCTTGAGATAGTTTGCTGTAAATGTTACCATTGGGGAAAACTGAGTAATGGGCACAGGGGATATTTCTGTATAAATTTTTTAAATAGTGTATTGATCATATTATATGCCTATAAGTATGTGTGTGTGTGTGTATGTGTTTTAGTCTTACTACAACAATATGGAAAGAATGATGGCGATTCATAACTAAATACTACTTTCTGCAATGTTGACTTTGTGAGTCCCAGCTCTAGAATTATGCTAACTATGACACTGTTTATGTTATGATTTCAGAGACATTCCATAAGTGGACCAATCTCTACATCCAAACCCCTGACAGCGCTGTCAGATAAGAGACCAAACTATGGAGAGATCCCTGTTCAAGGTAAATCTCATATGGCACAATACTTCACTTCTGCTATTAATTTTTTGATTCTTCTGACTTTTTTGGCTAACGAAATTGTGATTTTCTTTGTTTTTGACATTATTTCAGGTGATTTGGTATACATCTTTATCAGAAGCTTACCTAATAATATGTTTTCATTAGATAGGGAGGCTAGTAGCATTATGATAGGCAATGGAGAGTCCACACCATTACTAGGCATTTTGTTTTTATAGTTCTTCATGGGGTATGTAAATGTGTTACCCACATTTAATAGATACTAAAAATGAGGTTTCAGAAAGTTGGTTAACAATGAACAGTAGACCTGGGCAGCCTGACTCCAAAGCCCATTCTTTTAACCTCTGTGCTCTGTATTATTGTCCATAAGAGGAAACCGAGACTCTGAAACACAAGGTTGAGATGAGGTCCGTTCTTTTGTGCACTTATAAGGGGCTCGGCCGTTTTCATATAGCTTTTTTTTTTTTTTTTAAAGATTTTATTTATTTATTTGAGAGAGAGAATGAGAGAGAGCATGAGAGGGGGAGGGTCAGAGGGAGAAGCAGACTCCCCGCTGAGCAGGGAGCCCGATGTGGGACTTGATCCCAGGACTCCAGGATCATGACCCGAGCCGAAGGCAGTCGCTTAACCAACTGAGCCACCCAGGCGCCCCTTCACACAGCTTTTATGGTAGAGCCAGCACCAGAACCCACGTCTCCTGCCTTTCGAGGTCTGAGCTCCTTCTCTGACCCTGTACTGCCTCTTCCTGCATGGTGCTGAAGTGCGCTGGAAATTGGTCTTTGGCACTGGGGCATGGTGCTGTAAAGGTCAAGCTTCATTTGGGGTAGATGTGGATGTGCTCAGCCGGGATGCACGCCCTCAGGAGCCCCAGGCTCCTCTCAGTTGATGTAGGCCGATCGCCTCCAAGTTTTTCTCTGCGCATTCTCTCGGTTATGGCAGTTAGCCTTTATGCATGTGACTACAAGGTTTCAGCAGGTGTGGGTTAAAAAATAAGCAGACTTGTGAGAATTAGTCCCTCAAACAACCCAGAGGATGCTCTGTGGGCGCCATGGAGCACCTGTGTAGGAGGTGCCGCATTTGGCAGTGGGACTGGCCCTTTCCCTGCCAGTCGCAGGTACACCCCATATTCAGGTAAGCTGCTTGTGCGTACACTTAGGGATAATGGAGCACAAGATGGTGCTGCTGGGGGCGCCTGGGTGGCTCATTCATTAAGCGTCTGCCTTCGGCTCGGGTCATGATCCCAGAGTCCTGGGATTGAGCCCCGCATCAGGCTCCCTGCTCAGTGGGGAGCCTGCTTCTCCCTCTCCCACTCCCCCTGCTTGTGTTCCCTCTCTCGCTGTGTTGCTCTATGTCAAATAAATAAAATCTTTAAAAAAAAAAAAAAAAAAAGATGGTGCTGCTGCTACCGTCCCTGCACAAGGGCTTGCCTTCTACCCCTACTTCTTAGCTCTGGTACATTCATCAGTTATGACTTGAGGTCTTTTCTCTCCTCAGAAGGTCTTTTTGTTAAGGGTAAAAATAGTGGAAGGTGTCAGGTCTCTCTTTACATTTTGACTGTGTTCCCACCCTTGCTTCCCAGGTGGATCCACTAAGGATTATGTATGTGTAGGGTGCCATTGAGCACTCTCTCTTCTGGGATGTTCGTTTTGATTTCCACAATGCCACACTCTTGTGTCTTCTTCCTCCCTGGCTGCTCCTCCATCCCCTGTGCTTGACCCCCTCCTGACCTGCAAGCGGCGGCATACCTCCGAGCTCAGTTCCTGGGCCTCCCTCGCTTACTTACTCTGCCACTGTATTGTTTCTCATGGCTTTAACTGCTAGTGTCAAACTGATATCTCCAGCCTGTTTCTCTCCTCTAGACTCTAGACTAATATACCCAATTGCCTACTTGACAACTCCATTTGGATGTCGAATAATCTCAGATGGAGTGCGTCCAGGACAAGATTTCCACATTTTCGAAACTTGTCTTACCTGTAATCTGTCTTTTCCATTTCAGTTAATGGTAGTTTTATCCTCCAGAAACCTCGGAGTCATCCTTAGCTCCCTTCTTTATCTTAGACCCCGTATCTGCAAACTGTTAGGTTGTTTTTTTTTTTCACGATCAAATAAATTTTTTTTTTTTTTTTTAAAGTAGGCTCCATGCCCAGCATAGAGCCCAACACAGGGCTTGAACTCACAACCCTGAGATCAGAACTTGCGCTGAGATCAGGAGTCGGATGCTTAAATGACTGAGCCACCCAGGCACCCCAGTCAAATCAATTTTTTAATTGAAGTATAAATGACATACAACATTATATTAGTTTCAGGCATACAACACAATGATTCACGTTTTTGTACATGTTGCAAAATGATCACCACAATAAGTCTAGTTACCATCTGTCACCAGACAAAGAAACAGAACTGTTCCGTTCTTTAGGAAACTCCCATTGTCTCTACATCCAGAGGTGGAGCATTGCTCTTCCCTCTACCACCACCTCCTTGGTCAAGCCACCATCATCTCACCTGGGTTCTGACAGAAGATTCCTAATCCCCCCTCACAATCTATTCTTAACTCTACAGCCAGCGTAATCCTGAAAAATATAAATTGGAACACTTCATTTCTATTCAGCTCCGCATTTCTCTCAGAAGAAGAGCTAGAGTTCTCTTAGTGGCCTTCAGGCCCTCCCATCGTGGCCTTGGTTTCCTCTCTGGCCTCACCATGTATCTCTTTTGGTCACTCTGACCAGCCACATGGGCTTCCTTGTGCTCCCTGGGCACTCTGCACACTCCCGACCTCGGAGCCTTGTGCTGGCGCTTCCTCTGCCAGAGCGCTCTGCCACATGTTCACACGGCTCACTTGGGCCCTCCTTCAAGGCTTTGCTCTAGGCTCCCCTTAGCTGGTGAGTGCCATATTTAAAATTACAACCTGCATGCTCCTCCACACGCCCCTTCCCAAACCTCTCTCCCCTTTAAAAAACTTAGTTTAACTAAGTACTTAACCCTTTGGACATACTGCACAGTTTACTTGTCTATAACTTTTATTGTCTACCTCCCTAGACTGTGAGGTCTGTGAATTCAGGGATTTTTGTCTGTTTGGTTCACTGAGGTATCTTAGCACCTATTGTCGTACTGGGCTCTTGATAGTAAGTTGTGAGATGAGTGAATGAAGGGCACGTTACAGCGTGTAAAGGGCTTAGCACAGGTTTTAGTCCACAGTAAATGCTGTTAGATTTTATTACTATTAGCGTGTGAACTTCTTTTTTTTTTTTTTAAGATTTTATTTATTTATTTGCGAGAGAGAGAATGAGAGAGAGAGCACATGAGAGTGGGGAGGGTCAGAGGGAGAAGCAGACTCCCTGCCGAGCAGGGAGCCCGATGCGGGACTTGATCCCAGGACTCCGGGATCATGACTTGAGCCGAAGGCAGTCGCTTAACCAACTGAGCCACCCAGGCGCCCTAGCGTGTGAACTTCCTAGTAGCACAAGTGGCTGAGAAGGATGGCTCTTTATTGTCTGAGTACAAGATTTTAGTTCATTGCAAGGCCACCAGGGTCTGCAGGATTTTGCTTAGCTACCGACAGGTGGTTGTGAGAAAGCATCACTACACATTATGTTTTGGGCATCTTAAAGCTGCCGGCACTGAGGGTAAAGATGGAAGCCAGGGGTTCAGGAGCACTCCCACTCAACTGCTTGTTGCATCTGCCCCCGTTCTGTCAATAAAGTCAACCTTTTGATCCAGGTACAGTTGGAACCAGGAGCCAGGATGCCAAAGCCTTTGAAAATAGGTATAACACTAGGCCTGTGACAGCCCTGTGGGAGTGACCCACCCCATCTGGAGAGCCTTGAAGTCATCCTTGGACACCAGAGAAAACTGAGTCCCCAGGCCCCACTTGGCCTCTGAGGAAAGTGGAGATACCCCATGCTCCAATGAGAAATGACTCAGGGCTTTCCAGAACTCTGGAGGCCATGCTGAAGCTGACCCTCAGAGCATTCTCCCCTTTGAACAGCTACCTTCCAGATTCTTCTTGATTGGCTCACAGCAGGGCAAGGTTTACTGGGCAAAGCCAGCACCAACAGTATTTCTCGAATTTACCTGTTGATAAGACTTACCTGAGTCATTTCGTGAAATAGGGAATCCTGGGCCTCACCTCAGGTCTACTGCCATGGACTCTGTAGGAAAGGGAGCTTGGAAACTTCATTTTCACAGGCACCCCAAGTAATTCTTAGGAAAGGACAAATTGGGGAAATTGGGCAAAGAATTTTTCCTATTACCTTGGCTTTTGTGGGTACGGAGTGGGGGTGTAGAAGATCCGTGGGCCAAGGTTATTGACACAGACTAAATGTGTTAAATGTCTTTGGGGCTCTGTTGAATGAAACCTTTCCCTGCCTCTCCTCGTTTTATTATGTGGTAATGTATCAAATGATATGGCTATTGGGGGTATGGTTGGTGTGTGTTAATGGTGGTCTGCTTCTCCACTTCAGTCTGTTATAATGCCTTCATGGGGCTTAGCTGAAGCAGGGCAAATACAGGAGAGAGCAGGAAACATACTTAGGTGAATTTTTATCTGAGAATTTGTTGATAGTGTGATCTTTTATTTTAAACAGTTATTAGAGAAAGAAATAACTTATAAAACTAAAAACAACCAAGTGATTCTTGGTTATAAAAAGCCACCATGGTTATTTAAACTGTGATAAGAGAGTAGGATTTCCAGGCTCTCTCTTGAAATGCTTGTCTTGCTTGACTGTTTCTTTTATCATGGCATAAATCAAAGGTTAATCTACAATTTTCATTGAGAAAATTTCAATGATTTCATTACTGAAACTTTCAAAGGTGCTGCCTCTTGTTCTACACTTAAATTAGAGAATTTGGTGTTTTTTCCAGTTAAGTATATTATAATAGGGATGGGGTTTTTGTTCCATTTTAGCATCATGCTTACATGTCAGTTGAGGGAAGATATTTCAGAGCAGAGAAATCTTACTATAAATGGACTAATCAAATGCTCTTTT